AAAAAAAAAGCAAAAAAAAAAAAAAAAAAAAAACCCACCCTTTAAACTCTTTAAAACGTATGTTAGAAGTTATGGAGAACCATTTATTTGTACTAAAATCAGAAAAGATAAAAAATTCAATAAGTTTCCAATTACAAAGTACAAATTTAAATATGTATATTTATCACACACACACACACACACAATAAACAGTCTATGTTGTGTTAAACTTACATGAATTAGAACCCATTATTCATGTTTTCAGGCAAGGATAGTCAGGAAAAGTTCTCTAGGTTCCTAATAGATAGATAAAATGAAGGATTACAGAATTGTCTGAACTGAAAGTGTTTCTTTAGTCCAACAACAAGTATACAAGGGCTCTATCTTAAGGTTGTGCACAGGATTATAGATATGAGTAAATACAAATATCTTTGACACCACAAGGAAAAATTAAGAATAATTATTATTTTTTAAAACATACTTTAAAAATGCATGTACATCAGATATGAGGTCAAAGCAAACAAGATTCCAGTATCAGTAGCAGTAACTATTACAAAAGTGCCTTACCTGAATGCCTTTTTATATTTTGTGGTCTCGCTTATATACATTTTGTGTCTTTATTAATGGTAATTTAAAAATATTACCATGAAGAACATTTGAAAAACTTTTTATGTTTTTAGTTTGACTTGCCTAATGGTTTCATACACTAGACAGTGATTGATTCACATGACAACACAAATACATTAGATAGATAAAATGAAGGATTACAGAATTGTCTGAACTGAAAGTGTTTCTTTAGTCCAACAACAAGTATACAAGGGCTCTATCTTAAGGTTGTGCACAGGATTATAGATATGAGCTGAGTAAATACAAAAAAATTGTGGGCATCAAGAAACAAGAGCCCAACAAATCTTACCTCCACTGGTATATTTCCTAAATAAATAGTGATGAAAACAGCCATGCCTGTTATAACAGTCCGATTCGCACTGTACCGACAGACACAAACCAACATCAACAATCACCAGATTGTGTAGAATATGAGCACTAGACAGTGATTGATTCACATGACAACACAAATACATATTCATTTCAGCCCACACTTTTTCATGTTTGTTTTTAACATGAGCACATCACACAACCTATCCATCATAACATCTACCTAATTTATAGCTACTACCATGAAACAGAGTTTGATTGGATGCAATGTCTTTGATGTCACCATTAAAATATAATTGTTTCAGTTCCTTTTTGATAAGCCAGTTTATTTTTTCTATGCTACAAAATGCATGTACATATTTAATATTTTGCATTTAGCATTGTTTTTCCATCTCTATTCAGACAGACTGGTATATTTCCTAAATAGTGATGAAAACAGCCATGCCTGTTATAACAGTCCGATTCGCACTGTACCGACAGACACAAACCAACATCAACAATCACCAGATTGTGTAGAATATGACGTTCAACTTGTTGAATCAGCGAAAATGAGCTGGGAGTAACAGCAACAGGGGTAACACACATCAGACTAAAGACCCGGAAATGATGTCTCTTCATGTTTGTCTGTGTTTTTCAGTTAAGTGCGAAGTGTCACAAAACCTGACAAACGTGTCTTTTCGAACCTATAGAATATGACGTTTGTCTGCATTTACAGGCCCAGATTAAGCCTATCTTTGACACCACAAGGAAAAATTAAGAATAATTATTATTTTTTAAAACATACTTTAAAAAAGCATGAACATCAGATATGAGGTCAAAGCAAACAAGATTCCAGTATCAGTAGCAGTAACTATTATAAAAGTGCCTTACCTGAATGCCTTTTTATATTTTGTGGTCTCGCTTATATACATTTTGTGTCTTTATTAATGGTAATTTAAAAATATTACCATGAAGAACATTTGAAAAACTTTTTATGTTTTTAGTTTGACTTGCCTAATGGTTTCATACACTAGACAGTGATTGATTCACATGACAACACAAATACATATTCATTTCAGCCCACAATTTTTCATGTTTGTTTTTAACATGAGCACATCACACAACCTATCCATCATAACATCTACCTAATTTATAGCTACTACCATGAAACAGAGTTTGATTGGATGCAATGTCTTTGATGTCACCATTAAAATATAATTGTTTCAGTTCCTTTTTGATAAGCCAGTTTATTTTTTCTATCCTACCCATGATGAATACAAAATGTATTTACATATTTAATTTTTTGCATTTAGCATTGTTTTTCCATCTCTATTCAGACAGACCTGCGAACCAATTTTAGGCCACCAGTTGAGAACCACTGGTCCTCATTTACCAAACACCTACAGGGGAAGTCGTGGCCTAATGGTTAGAGAGTCAGACTCATAAACCAAAGGTTGCGGGTTCGAGTCTCTGGTCCGGCAGGGATTGTAGGTGGGGGGAGTGAATTCTCTCCCACCTTCATTACCACGACTGAGGTGCCCTTGAGCAAGGCACCGAACCCCCAACTGCTCCCCGGGCGCGTACTAGGCCTACATCGATGTTTCCTGTCGGCTCATTTTTTGAGTGGACTTTGCTGTTCCGATTCGCATGAACGGTATACGAGTGGAGCGACTGAGCGGAGCACACACACGCATAGAGCGGGATAACACGCAGAGCGTCACACCACGTGAAAGTGAAACCTGAGCGGTGAACAAATTTTCGGCAGCCGAAATTTCGGTGCATCTCTAATTATTGGCGACATCAGAAATGGATATTATATAATAGCTGCTTTTTTGAACATTTTAGCAATTTAAAAATATTAAAGGATTTTTTTACATGGCACCCCTGCTCTGGACAGACGGCACCCCAGGGTGCCACGGCACCCCGGTTGGGAAACACTGCACTAGACAGTGATTGATTCACATGACAACACAAATACATATTCATTTCAGCCCACAATTTTTCATGTTTGTTTTTAACATGAGCACATCACACAACCTATCCATCATAACATCTACCTAATTTATAGCTACTACCATGAAACAGAGTTTGATTGGATGCAATGTCTTTGATGTCACCATTAAAATATAATTGTTTCAGTTCCTTTTTGATAAGCCAGTTTATTTTTTCTATCCTACCCATGATGAATACAAAATGTATTTACATATTTAATTTTTTGCATTTAGCATTGTTTTTCCATCTCTATTCAGACAGACCTGCGAACCAATTTTAGGCCACCAGTTGAGAACCACTGGTCCTCATTTACCAAACACCTACTGTATGCATGTGTAATATTTGTAGACTTCAGAGTTGCTTTCAATACCATCAAGCCTTTCTCACAGCTTTTACTCTAACCTCGTTATTTTTTCTGTATTTGCCACTTTCAGGCTGGGTGCTGGTCAGCTTGCAGAGGAAGAGGAGGAAATCTCTCCATGATTCACCTGAAATAAAATATAAATAAGATTCCTTTAGGAACATGGTTTAAATAACTAATTCCAAGTATGGGTCACCATACTTGGCCACATGTCATGTCACTTTCAGTATGCATGTGTAATATTTGTAGACTTCAGAGTTGCTTTCAATACCATCAAGCCTTTCTCCTCATTATTTTTTCTGTATTTGCCACTTTCAGCCTGGCTGCCGGTCAGCTTGCAGAGGAAGAGGAGGAAATCTCTCCATGATTCACCTGAAATAAAATATAAATAAGCTTCCTTTAGGAACATGGTTGACTAAAGTCAAAAAAATCCAAAGAGATATTCTTTATAAAAGTTAAGAGTCATCCACGCCTAACGAAAACAGCTCGTTCTAACATGCCCCCACGTGTCTACGTCACGATGTGGGAAGATTTGCATAATGCCGCCCAAATTTTTCTAACTTTTATAGAAAAATAAAACTATTTTACTTATTAGTTATTACGCCTAACTTGTATTCTGTGAATGCGCTGTGTTAAACGCGAGTTTTGAGCAGTGTAGAGTAGCGCTTGTTTGTCATTTCTCCGATCACAAATGCAGACATGGTTTTATGTTTACGCGGCGCGATGCAACGCAATGCGTAAAAAGACAGTATAAGTCATTATAATCCATAATTATGTCCAATCTATATTAAGTATATAGCTGGCCAATCACAGCACACCTCGCTTTTTCAGACCGATGAGCTTTGTAAAAATCGACGCGTTTCAGAAAGGCGGGGCATAGAGGAGAAACAATAATGTACAGTATGTGGAAAATAATGTGTTTTTTTAACCTTAAATTGCATAAACACATTTCATTACACCAAATACACAAAATAATGTTCTTTTTAGCAGCATCATATGACCCCTTTAATCAAGCTTAATATGATGTCACTTAAAACACTGTAGAGGAAAGGAGTAAATCTTACTGAGAAACATGTCACAAAAATGCATCATCATCAAATCTGCGTAAATGTTACTTGCGTTAACTCTTATTCAACATTGTGTACATTAACATTCAACAGTGCTAAATTAAAACCTAGGAAGTAGGATCATAACTTACATTTCATACACCCTACATCCACCAATAATAAACAGCTTGGTCTTGCTTGGGACTCGAGCTGTAACTGTCCAAAAAGCTTTGAAACGTTTACAAACTTTTTTGTTTTGAATCAAAGCTTAGAGTGAATCTTTGAATGGTAGGAAATCAGGAAATCACTGAACTTATATGTTGTGCTTATGTTATGCTTATTTCTTTCTAAAGCTTTTTATCAGTCAGAAACAAACAAAAAAGCAAACATTTTCTTTGTTTATTTTCTATGGGACACAGAATTATTCATCATACAAAAGATAAAATCATTGACAGATTAAAGTATAAATTGCAATAACTGTACTTTTGACTAAATACAATATAATGCACTTCTGCTTCCCCTGACAGATAAATCAAGCTGTCAAGCTGTATTAGCAGTGCACTCAATTCAAAGAAAGTTATGCGAGTTTATATAGTATATGCTATGCTGGAGATTACATGTTTTTCTCATGGATCAAAGACTACAGCGATCTGTTTCTCAGATTCATTCTCTGTGGTGTTTATTGCTGGATGGTGAGCTCAGTCTCTCCATACACCTGTCTGAGAGCGGCGCAGTCTAGACTTGCTATCAGTTTAGTGGAGCCGGCCCGTCTGGGACTGAACGTCTCCGTCCACATTATAGAGGTGCCTGGAGCAATCAGACTGGAAAACACATCACACACACACACATCAGAAATCATGTAGAACAGACTTGCATTCATGCATTTGGTAGAGGCTTTTAACCAAAGCAACTTGCACTGCATTCAAGATATATGTTTGATTAATAAATGCATTCCCTAGGAATTGAATCTATGACCTTGATGTTGCAATTAAGAACCTCACAAAAAAACATGTCCATGTCACATTTAACTCTTAAATAGTAATAAAAGTAGTATATAAAGTGTTATAAAGTATTATAAAGTATATACTGTTCTTCCTTAGAATGCACTTTTTGGAATTTGACTGTTCTAAATTTAAAAAGCACAAAAATGTCATCATATTTTTGTCCCACATCAAGTCTTGACCTCTATAATAGCAGATACAGAACATTTCAGCGTAATAGCATCAGTCTGACGGGGCTCACCTGTACTGCTTGCGTTTGAAGGGCATGATTCCAGGACCCTCCATACGGAGATCCACATTCTCCAGACTGAACTTAAATGGGTTTGTGAACTCAACAGACACGTACATTTCCTCACTCACTCTTGGAGAACCAGTGACCTACAGAGAGATGGCAAAAACACCCAAGAGAGAGACAGAGAAGTGAAAACTACCAGTAGAGGGCAGCAGACTCATTTACATTCCACTGGCAGAAATAAAGTTCAAGTCAAAAGTTTACATACACCTTGCAGAATCTGCAAAATGTTAATTATTTTAGCAAAATAAGAGGGATCATACAAAATGCATGTTATTGTTTATTTAGTACTGACCTGAATAAGATATTTCACATAAAAGATGTTTACATATAGTCCACAAGAGAAAATAATAGCTGAATTTATAAAAAATCACCCCGTTCACAGTATTCTTAATACTGTGTTGTTATCTGAATAATCCACAGCTGTTTTTTTGTTTAGTGATAGTTGTTCATGAGTGCCTTGTTGGTCCTGAACAGTTAAACGCCCTGCTGTTCTTCAGAAAATCCTTCAGGTCCCACAAATTCTTTGGTTTTGCAGCATTTTTGTGTATTTGAACCCTTTCCAACAATGACTGTGTGATTTTGAGATCCGTCTTTTCACACTTAGGACAGAGAGCCAGGGGGTGAAAACTTTTGAACAGAATGAAGAAAATGTTTCTTATTTTGCCTAAATATCATATTTTTTCATTTAGTACTGCCCTCCAGAAGCTACAGATGATACTTACATGTTTCCCAGAAGATGTAATAAGTTCAATTTACCTGTATCTTCAAATTCAAAAAGTTTATGCATGGTTTTTCCTTCTGGAGCATCAGTGAGCGTTTGAAGCTTCTGTAATAGTTGCATATGAGTCCCTTTAGTTGTCCTCAGTGTGAAAAGATGGATCTCAAAATCATACAGTCATTGTTGGAAACTGTTCAAATACACAAAAATGCTTTGAACGGGGTCATTTTTATAACTTCAACTATTATTTTCTCTTGTGGACTATATGTAAACGTCTTTTATGTGAAATATCTTATTCAAGTCAGTACTAAATAAACAATAACATGCATTTTGTATGATCCCTCTTATTTTGGTCAAATAATTAAAATTTTGCAGATTCTGCAAGGTGTATGGTTTGTGTGTGTGTGTGTGTGTGTGTGTGTGTGTGTGTGTGTTTGTGTTTGTGTGTTTGTGTGTGTGTGTATATATATATATATATATATATATATATATAAGACACAATTTCAAAAAGTAAATACAAGTTCTAAAGTATATATTTTAATTTTAATTTTTATGATTTAATTTATTAGTTTTCTCAGTTCCCTCATCAACCCCAGTATGAGAAATCCTTTTTTTAATGTAAATGCGAGGTACAGTAACAGTAATGAATAAAGTCTGACCTTCACAATGAGTTTGGGGTTGTGTATTGTGATGACTTTCATGGCAGTAATGATCTGGCCCGTCTCTTTAATCTTCCCTGTAGCGATGAAGTGGATGTTTGCCTGTTCCACCAGTTTATGCATGTAGTCCTCACCTCGCACCAACACTTTCTCATCCTTACCTATCATCACCAGCAGGGGGAGCATTTAATGCATGAATACAGATTCAGCAACATCATATTTTACACTCTCTCTCCTACATCATTTACTCACTCTGCAGTGGATCTAGTTTGACTTTGGGAGTTTTAAACACCACCTCGGCGCTCGGGACTCCGGTATAATACACCACGGTTCCAGTGACGTACACGTCAGCAGTGCGGCGCTGGTCACTGTGGTTCTTAAACTGCAGCGTCACGTCAAAGTTGTCTCCCACACGAACGTCCAGAGTGGGGATCTCCACCTCCACATCGCTCTGAGGAAGAGAGGCTTTCTCTCTCTGACAGCCGAACTCCTCGGCCTTCTCCAGCACACGCCGCTCCTCTGGGCTCCCTGAGTAAATAATGGTTTCAAATGAAAGCAGATCCTGGTTGTGTGATATTTATGTGACCTTTTATGTCCAACAGCAACTTCTCTCACCTTCAGGGAACTTGTATTGATCAGTGATGTCTCGACGTCCATCGTGCAGCACGGCTTTGGTCAGCACCATGCGGCCCACGTGAGTGGGATTCACCTTCACTACTTCCAGAGTGCCGTCTTTTTGTCTACGATAAAAAATCACGTCACTGTTCACCTGCAGAAATAAATAGAAGTAGTGAGATGCACAGACATGTATTTATCTCTTAAATTAGAAACTGAAAAAAACATATTTACACAGATTTTGTCATATTTGAGTCTTTAATCCTCAGAGACCCAATGCACTGTTAAATGAATACAAGAGATGTAGTGAACATCTGAATGTTTTCTGTTACTCTCTACTTTCTTAACACGTCCTGCTCTAGGTAGGACTAAGATACTGCCTTGAAAAATATCGGTATCGTATCGAAAACAAAATAAGTGGTATCGCCCATCCCTAACGATCACAGCACAATCAGACATACATCGTGATTGCCGAACAGTCTCTATGAACAGAACGGTGCATTTCTTTATCCTACATTGGAGACAACACCCAAACCTTGAAAACTGATGCATTTACTTTTCTTCCTGTTTGTTCTTAGCTTGTTTTAACTCATTCATATCATGATGCATATTGTTTATTGTTTTGGAGTGAATTTTGGATTTTGGGTTGCAATGATGAGTTTTCAAGGTTGCAATCCTATAATCTTTGACTTTCTAAATTTCTCTGAAATTTGGATGTGTTCTGGATCTCAGAGCTTTCCTCTGCTACTTTCTGAAGTTTTCTCTCACTGATGCTCCACTATAGCACCTGAAAATACATATTTGGATAATTTAGATAATAAGAGATAATAATTGGATCTCTATAAATATCCTCCCAGCATATGTTAATGTTAGAGCATCTTTTGGCACTCTGTGGTTTTATTAGGCCACACTGAAAATCATTTGAAGGATTTGTTTCATTTGTTTATTACTGATTGGGCCTTGAATAAAATAATGCAAAAAATACCTACTTTTGCTTTTCTGCATTATTCAGGAACAAAAAAAGTTACTATTTATTTTTAATGCAACAAATACCTACTTTTGCTTTTCTGCATTATTCAGGAAAAAAAATACTATTTTTTTCTATCACTTTTTATAATTTTTCTATCATATAAAAAAAGAAAAAAAAATTTTTTATGTGACCATGAATTCTTCTTCTTCTTCTTATTATTAATTACAGTTATAACAACAGCAATGATATTATTAATAATATTTTTATTTAGTGTTAGAAATACTGTAACTGTAATTCTACAATTTTATTACACGTGACGTAACAACAAAAAGCATATTTTGGATCAAATGTAGCCAGTAGTATCTATAATTATTATTATTGTTGATGTTGTTTTTGTTGTAGTCAATTTGTAGGAAATTAGTTTTTTTCCCCCTGCCAACCATGTTATCATGACTACTTGCATGTCATTTTAACTTTAAACGTTTACTAAAAACTGTATTGTTTGAACTCTGAGGGTTAAAGGCCCAAAACATGATATATATATATATATTTTTACCTCAGCAAACACAAAAGGGGCATCAAACGGGTAGCAGATCTGGCCGTGTTTTACGGCAGCTACTGATGCAGGTCCACACCTGAACATACCTGACAGAAGACCAGCCTCAGTAACACCACAGAACAACAAAGATACTGTGTCTGTGTTCATGCGCTTGTCCTACCATCGCTCGTCTCCTGTGGCGTAGCATCCACAACCTGCCATCCTCCGAAACCAGGAGGCAGATCAGACCTTGCCATGAAGCACTCGTTCCAGCAATGATAATTCCTGCAGATGAAGATAGAGCAAGTCATCCTCTATGGAAGCTTGTTTCCGCAACAGGATAAAAAAAAAAGATAACTGTGACTTTCGGTCTCACAATTGTGACTTTTATTTTGAAAAAAAAAAATGTGCATTTTTATGGGGGCAAAAACAAAAGTGTTGCGTTTATAATTTTGTTCAGTGTATATAAAGGCAGAATTGTGAGAAATAAAATCAGAATTGTGAGACATAATAATATAAACATATATAAACTTGCAACTGCGAGAAAAATGTCATAATTGTGATATAAAGAGTCACAATCACCAAAATTCTTGTGGCAGAAAAAAAATTGAATTGTGAAATACAAACTCAGAATAGCCTTTATTTATTTATTTATTTCCCATGGCAGAAACAAGCTTCCGTAATCTACTGCATAAAAAAGCAGCACTTTTAATATTTTTATATACTTTAAATTATTTGAGCAAAACCTCATGTTTCGGTTTCCATAAAAGATCACAAACCAGATGGAGTCCTTGGTGCGGTTCCGGTCCAGTTTTCCATTTTCGTCCAGGATGATGTCCATCTTAAGGTTGCCGTCATTGTCGTGAGCAGAGAAGAAGTTTGTCACGACCCTGCCGGGGATCCCGAGACAACGCAAGACTGTGGGGAAGGAGAAGTAGAATCATATGGACACTGATCACGTGACCTATTAATGAATATGAATGCCTTGTCCTGGTTCTCACAGGTGTTGAAGACAGCAGCGTAGACCCAGCACTGGGCGTAGCAGACGGGTGTTCCCCTGCTGCCGGCGTAGTCCAGGAGGATCTCCACGCTGCCGGTCCAGGACGTCGGCGGGACACCGTATGTGTAATCGCCACTCCAGTTCCCCACCAACACGCCGTCGTCATCGCGCGAGTTCAGCTGTTTGGAAACAGGGCAGAGGTGAAGTCAACAACAGGTTTATGAAAGCTGAAAAAGATATGTTGTTTCACCAATAGCACACATGCTATAACATCATGTGAAAAATTCAATAAGCTGTGTTTTTTGGTATTAAGCAAGCACTTCAACTTTGTGCACAAATAACATAATATTCAAAAGTTATATTCAAAAACATATTGTATTTTTTAACCATAAAATTCTAAAGTACACACATATTGCAATAGACAAAGTTGGGGTGCAGTAAGATAGTTTAATGTTTTTAAAAGAAACATTATAACAATTTAAAGTAACAGTTTTCTATTTGAATATATTTTAAAATATAATTTATTCCTGTGATGCAAAGCTGAATTTCCAGCATCATTACTTCAGTGTCACATGATCTTCAGAAATCATTCTAATATGCTGATTTGCTGCTCAAGAAACATTCTTTGATGAATGGAATCTTCAAAAGAACAGCATTTATTTTAAATAGAAATATTTTAAAGTAATAGTAACATTACAAAAAAGTCTTTACTCTAACTTTTGATCAATTCATCATAGCTGTATAAAGGTATTCATTGTCTGTCAAAATGTTTAGTTCACGTTTGGCACAGTGAAACACAGTTCCTCATAACAGGGTAAAAAATAAAAATAAAAATAGTTATCGCAGTTTGTCTTTGGTTTCTCACCATGGCTGAAGCGACGCGGGTCACTTTAATGACGTCCCCACGGTTGGACAGCGGCATATCTGCTTTATCCATAATGAACAGACAGGCATCCAGGACACCAAACTCAAACTAAAAAAACAAAACCAAAAAATACAGCAAATTGCAATTTTTTTTATTTGTACATATTTTATTATAGACTTTTAGCTCTAATTATTAGGGATACACTATATCACTTAATTTTTTTTTTAGTTTATCAGCATTTAGGTCAGTATTTTAACATTTTAAAAACTGTGCATGCTCATTTTTCCTTTTTTTAATTTTTATTTAAATTACCATTGACCTTATTATTCTTTTATTTATTATGAATCATATTAATTAATCCACAAAATATTTTTGAGTGAACGCTGCCAAAATTATCCACAAAAAATTATTATTTTTTTACTCAAAAAATGAGGCGCATAAGCTTAGTTTCATAAATAAATACAAAAACTGTATTAACTGTAAAAAGAAAAAACAACAACTGAATCCTAGATTTGGTGATAACGCAGCATAATGTGAGATTTACAAGCAATTTTTAAAAGGCTGGTCATTTTTGTGACTGACAGATGTGATGTAAGTTCCTCACACCTGTCCGTAGTTCCATGCGCGTTCAGACACATCATCATACGCGCCATGATAGATGATCCCCAGCTCATTCATAACACACTCTTCACGCTCCTCCTCATCATCCAGGAACACAGGATCAGCTTTGAAAAAACATCAGTTAGCATGGCTCATATCTTTTTTCCCCCCATGCACACAATTTAAAAAGACGTACCGAGACTGCGTATGTTTAAGATAGTATATATTATATGGTAGCTTCTCCTAGAAAGGAAGAGAAGTCAGACCTGGTGACCACGGGTTGAAGAGGATGTAGATGTCTGTGCTCGGGTCCCTCCTGGTCCTGCGAATACCGTAGGGGGTCACCACACCGATGTATATCATGTATTTTCCCACAATGCACTCTGGTGAGGTGGTGATGCCCATTGTGACGACATTGTCGCTGGTCTCTACGATCCGGCCTCTCCAAACACTCTGACGCTCCTCATTGGGGAAAACGGGAATGTAGGTGCCCTTACTGTACTGAGGACTCGGCCCTAGTGCACAACAACAACAACAACTGATCACAAGGCAATGTTTAGCAATAATAGCTCGTGATTTTAGGTTGGTATGATTTTTGAAAGCCTCTTTTGCTCACCAGTGCTGCATTTATTTGATGAAAAATACAGCAATATTGTGAAATATTGTTACAATTTAAAATCAATGCTTTCTATTTGAATGTATTTTAAAATGTAATTTATTGCTGTGATCAAAGCAGAATTTTCAGCATCATTACTCCAGTCTTCAGTGTCACATGATCCTTCAGAAATCATTCAATCATCATCTGTGTTGTAATATTTTTTTGTGGAAATCATGATTAATTTTTATTTCAACATTCGTTCATGAACAGAAAGTTCAAAAGAACAGCAGTTATTTGAAATAAAAATCTTCAGCAACATTATACAAGTCTTTACTGTCACTTTTTTTTTATCAACTTAATGCATCCTTAAATAAAAGTATCAAAAATCATACTGACACCACACTTTTAAATGGTACTGTATAGCACAGTCTCTTCTGTACAACTAGGATTACTCACATTATTTGTATTGTCCGTTTGTAAACTCAAGCACCTTACACAACTTTAGATCCTTCAGATCACATGCTCAGTTTCCTTAAATATCAGTGCCCGAATGTGCAAGTGCATTCACAACTGGATGTGGTCAATATTATCAGGAGAATGAGAAGTGCACTAAAGGGAAGTGTGCCAACGAGAAGGGAAAGTGATGATGGCAGAATAATGGCATCTCTTGAGAAATGTTAGTGTCGAATGCATGCTGAAAATGCCCACTGAATGACATTTACTGCTGTGCTGGGCAATTTGCCTCTTTAAATAAATCTTAGGTATTGCAAAAAGGGGGAAACTGATCATTTAAGCAGAAGGACGCTTTAAAAAACATGTGGTATGCTTCAAAAACATCGAAAGACATTTGGTTTATCAATTTGAGTGATGTGTACTTGATTTAAACTCATAAATACTTCACTTTGAAACTAACAATGAGGCTTTTATAAAAGTAAATATTGCGAAGAAAACTGCAGCCTCAAGTTCACCTAAATAAGAGACTCACCTATGACAAACTCAACCGCAAACTTGTCTTCGGCCGGTTTGTAGGGTCGATCGAAGGTGATCTTGATCTGAAACTCCAGAGTGCGCCGCACGATGAGGAAGTCGCTGGAGTACAGGTGCGTGTTGTGCCCTTGTTTATTGATCTCTTGAGGTTGTTTGAGAACATCGACATCCCAGATATCGAGAAACTCTGAGGGTCAGAAACATGACTGTCAACGCATCAGAGGCTCAGCTGTAAATTAGCCTTTTTTTTTACAATCAGTAATCAACAAAAACAGTGGCATGGCCCTCTCACACAGGATGCCTTTCAGCCCTTTATCTCTGGGGGTTTGAAGGGAACAGGATGACGAAAGTCAAGTTACAATTTCCTGCAATAAATGTTATCACTGGGACAAGAGCTCTCTGTTATCTGGTGGAGACAGTAAATATGGAGGAAATGGTCTTGAGAGATCAGGATGCTTGTTCCAGCTTTTTGACTAGATAAGACCAAGTTAGCAAATAATTCAGTAAACAAAACCTCTCCTTTTACTGTTGCAAACCCCCAAAATACGGGTCTCTCACAGGAATCGGTACTGTGTGTGTCTGTATGAATTACTATTGATTGATCAAATTAACAGGATGCTGAATTTACACACAGTGTTTGATCATTTCACCTTTGTTGTGCATGTAACACAAACAATAAATAAATGAAACAAGAACATTTTCATTTTAAATGTTTGTGTATATCAGACAGTTTTTTATGTCCTATTGTATTACATTTTAATGGTCTATATACCAAAATGTGATTGAACTGAAATTAGAATAGCATGCTTTCAGTGTATAAATGCAGTTACTTTTAACGCGTTAATGGTTTATTAATTAATTAATTCAGAGGAAATGCAGAACTTGTGTGATGTTGGGACATATTCGCTAATGACCAGTGTTACTACTTTCATTTAAGTTCTGCAAATTTCAGCTTTTCCTCTAATATTTATATTTTATTTCAGCTTTACTTCAATTACCAAAAACATCAGCATTAGTTTTAATAACAATATAGATAATGATGTGATCATCATTACATTCATTCTCATAATTAAGTGAGTGACATTTTTTACATTCAAATGTATCTTTTTTTTTTTTAAAGTTAAGCTTCTATTACAATATTCTCTTTTTTTATGTTTACACTTATATATATACACTTGTATAACTCAAATGTTCTTTGATTGGGATCAGTTTTAAACAGATAAAAGCTATAAATAAGATGGTGTATTGCAATAAAATTAAGGCATTCAACTTCAAAACATTTTGAATATATATTTTTTTATTACATAATTACAATTTATAAATCACACAAAGGCACACCAATACTACCAAAATTTACTCTAAATAAATAAAAAATGTAGCACTTTAGGGTTAACTACACTCTCAGAAAAAAGGTACAAAAGCTGTCACTGGGGCGGTACCTTTTCAAAAAGTGCACTTTTGTACCTTTTAGGTACTAATATGTACACTTTAGGCACTAATATGTACACTTTAGGCACTAATATGTACACTTTAGGCACTAATATGTACACTTTAGGCACTAATATGTACACTTTAGGCACTAATATGTACACTTTAGGCACTAATATGTACTTTTAAGGTACCTAAAGAGCCCTTATTGG